AAAAAAAAAAGAAATTTAAAGGAATTTAAATCATTCAAAGTATATTCTCCAATGACAAAAAATTAAAAATAAACAAGAAATTTGGAAAATCCTTAATACTTAGAAATGAAGTTACATATTTCTATATAACCTATGGGTTAAAAAAAAATCAAAAGGGAAATTAGAAAATATTTTGAACTACCTGGTAAATAAAAAAAAGCACAACATATCAACATTTACAAGATATGACTTAAATAGTACTTAGAGGTTTAAATACCTATAGAAGAAAAGGTTTCACATCAATAATCTAAGCTCCCACTTTAAGAACAGACAAATAAGAATGAGTTAAACTAAAGCAAGTATTAGAAAGAAAATAAAGATCAGAAGGGAGAAAAATCAATTTAATAGGAAACAGAAAAATAGGGGGGGAAGGGGTCAAAGAAACCAAAATTTCACATAGTGACCTATCCAATATTTAAATAATAATGTCAGTTCTATACAGATTCTTCCAGAAAACAGAGGGAGGGAACCACTTTCCAACCCATTCTATGAGACCAGTATCACCTTTTTATCACAGCAGGATGAAGTTATCACAAGAAAACTGACATCCTTTGTGAGCATACACATGAAAGTCCCTAACACAATATTAGCAAACAGAACCCAGCAGCACCTAAAGAAGATTAAACACCATGATGAAGTGAAATTTATGTGACCGTATCGTCCATGGAGCTCCCGCTTCCATTCTGTTCTGACATCATCCTTCAGATGCAAATCGCTGTGCTGGTTGGGCTGTGCAGTCCCTTCGTTGGCACAGTTGTCTGTGTATACCTTCCTTGGTGGTTGTGTGTAAGGTGTTTGAAATAAGGTAACTTAATCCTACTGAATAGAATGAAATATGGATATAAAAAAAAATTAGGTTGAAATTATGGTATCAAAAGTGATTAGAGACACCATAAGAGGAGCAGAAAGCATGATCTCCAATGTCGACCTTGATGCTGTGGATGTCAATACCAGACAAGGTTTTAAAACAAACAAAAGATGAAAAGGTAGGCGAGCAATGAGCTAGATTCTCAGTTCAGTTACCCCCAGGGCTTCAACAGATCAATCACCAATCAGAACCATAAATTCAGCTGGTTTAGGAGTTTTCCTAGAGTCAGAAATTCCAGCCAAACTATTAGACAAGGGGCACTGATCCTCGGGCACAGAAGTGAGACTTTGAAGAGATGCCGTGTTCCTTTCCCTAACTGCATGTCAACTCAGGCACTGAAATCCGGGCTAGTTTTCAGGCTTCTCTCTCTACATCCGGTCACCAGAAGAGGTGACATAGCTTCCCAAGCTCCAGAAGGTTCCGTTCCAGGTTCTCGCTTTTAGAGATGATTCACAGCAGGAGAAGGATGCATTTGCCACCCATCCCACCAACACCCATGTTAGCCTGGTTCTGGGTGGAAACTATATTGAATCAAACCACATATACTGTCCATACACGGTGGAGGGTGAGCGGTTTGAGAGAAGCACCTGCATACACCAACACTTTCAAACGCACCTCTAAGAATCTGCAAAAGATTCCTCTAAACACAACAGTATTCAGGTGGTCATTCATTTCTGCGTGGTTTAAAATTATGACCTTTGGCAGGCAGCATTAATAATTTAGCCAATTTCTATTCCACAAATGAACATAAAAATCTAACAGCTAAAAATTATTTGCTACATGATAGGGCCTATTGTTCCATTTTTTAAAAAGTGGTATTTTAACTAAAAGAAAGACTATGAAACCATAAAGGAGACAAAGAAAGTCTTTCTCTGGATGTCCTAGGAGACATGACATAATGCAAATGCCAACTAAAAAATGTATACTATTATTCTAAACAGTACAACCAGGACACCGCTACATATTTTGTGGCAATCCTTACAAAACCTCTTTTCTACAAATTGAAAGCAAGAATAAAAATTTTGAGAAGATACTTCCAGGAAAGGTGTGTGTAGAGTGAGTATATAGCCTCATTAAATATTGCCAATTTAAAAAATTAAATTTGGCTGATCATATACACAAATCATCAAAGTTTACATTTGTTTTTTCTGGATGAATTTCAAATGTAATGTCAGTATAGCATTTCTATATCATGAGTTAGAAAATAATTCATGACCACTCTATAGACCATATGCAAGTTTATTTAAATAATTTAACAGTGCACAGAGAGCTAATTTGTAAGTATAAAAAAAGATGGTTTAGCAACCAAATATAAACACCACACGGAAACAGATTACACAGACACTATCAGGCCTTTGGGAGATTAAGGCGACATGAATATCTCAAGTAGTTTTATGGGAATACTTTACTCATAGATGTTATTAAAACATCTCAAAACATTTTTCAGTATGAAGTCTTCCCTTCCAGTTTTCTTGCCAATATATTCTTCTTAAATACTGTACAACGATTAGTCAAGATTGACAAAGGGGCTGTCGAAGCCGCTGTCCTGCTGGCTGGACAGAGACACCATCGGCCTTCTCGAAGGTTGCCGATGCGCTGAAGACGGCTCTGCGCGGCTCAGCTGTTTGAAATCTGCCGCCAAGAGATCCGCCTTAGGACGAGCTGGGTGTCCAGGGGTCCTGCTGGTCTTTCCCAGCTGGGCATACATGGCTTCTTCAGACAGGTCTGGAGTGCGACCAGTCTGACACTGCATCGGTGGAGAATTCTTATGATTTTTCTCTTTCTCTGAAAGGCAACCGGCTGCTAAGAACTGTTTGAAATGACCAGCCCCGGCGAGCGCCTCCAGGGTGTCGAGCGGCCCTGCGCGGAGAAAGGACGCCTCGGGGCTGCCGCAGGACAAGGTGGCGCTGCTGGAAGGCCAGCCCAGCGAGGCGCCGGGGTCCCCGCCGTCCTTGACCGGAGCGTCCTCGACACCCAGACCCTCACTTTTGTCCGATTCCCTTTCAGTGAGTGGAACACACTTATTGACTGTGAAGCCGAGTCTTTCATTAGGACTCCGACAAGTTATGTGTGCGGATCCCGATTCGGAAAGAGCGGGGCCATTTCTCGGCGAGGACTTGCTTCCAAAGGGTCCGAGGAAGGGGTATTCGGCTGCCTGCAGACACGAGCCCGAGCCGGCGTCACCGAGGAGGTCTTCCTTCCTGTGCAAACCATAGCCCCCTTCGCCTTCCCAAGGGACAAACTCGGGAGAGGCAGCCCCTGGCGACGCGTGCAGATGTTTGTGACTGCAGTCCCCGCCCTGAAAGTCTGCACGCGACCCTTTGGGACTCACGTGCTTTGTCCCCCCAAGCTCCGCCGCCTCCAGCCGCCTCCGAAGGTCGCAAGCAGCCCGCCTCTTGGGAACCTGGTCGCACGTATTTTGGGGGAGAGTTTTCATACTGTTTGATTTGCTTTCAGTGTGACCCGGTAGAGTCTGGTCCACGTCATTACTTTTTGATTTTTCAACACCAATTATCTCTGAAGTCAGGGGCAGTACTACAATATACAAGGGAACACAAAATTAGGGGAGCGTAAAACTAGGAGAAAGTTAACATTGAAAGAGAAGGACAAAAACTACATTTTTATGTATTCCCAAAAAAGGCATATTTATTTGAATCACAGAAATACATCAATGTCAACATGTTAAAATCCTCTTTTACATGTATCCAACAAGGTAGGTAACTTTGTTATTGAAATCTGATACAGTATTATTGCTATCCACCGGGTCTATTATTTTCTGCAACAGATGTTATAGCATTTTAAGAGCCAACTGCAACATTTCCAGTCCTGTTCTGATATGGAGTTTCTGATGAAGAGAGTTGACTGGAAGAACCCCAGTGCCCAACATTATGCCCACACACACAGCACAATCTAATCGGAGTCTCTCATTTAATCAGCTAAGGCATTAAATCTGACCAGAGGCACAGTAGCCACACGGCACGGAATCAGAGGCAACGTGCCTGAGAAGAGTACAGCTTGGTCCCCACAGTCCATGAAAAGGGCTTCGACTGGGAACATTATTGCACACTGTTGCTCCAAATCCAGAAAAACCTTTTTCTTATTATATGCGACTGCCCTTTTCTACCCAAGGTTCACATTATCATTCCAAAATTTACACAAATAATCACATTTACCAATATCAGACTCAGTTTCCAGAACAATTTCTGCCTGAAGCTTCCCCCAGTCCAAATCCCATCCCCCCACCCCGACCCATGTGGAATTTACCAATGCTTTCATGTATTTTCACCAGCTGTTGCTTTACATATTCTAAAGCTTTTTTTTTTTTTTTTGTAGAAAAAGAAACCATTTACATAGCTTCTTGGGAGGCAATTCCTTTATCATGAACTTTGGTCCCATTTAATGCTAAAACGCTGTAATTTTCCTAATATTGCATTTAGCTCTATAATTTTTCTACTATCAGCACTGCACTTACTAGGTATGTCACCCTCCATCCCTTTATTTTGAATTTTAAATGTTCTTCCTGTGAAAGTAACATATGTCTGGATTTTTAAAAAACCATGTGCAAGTTGTGGTCTCTTAATAAGTGAGTTTAAGCTATTCACATTTGGTGTGAATGCTGATATTTCAACCAATCATTGTTTCCTACTTACCCATGCTTTCTAGTTGTATTTTTCCTCTTTCTTGATTTTGTTAGATTAAAAACATCATCTTCTAAGTTTTTCCCCTACCAATTTGGAAGTTACATACTCTATTTCTATTTCTCTATTGGTTATCCTTAAATTTCAATACACATACTTAAACCTATATTTTTCTAGCAATGGCCAGAATTACCAGTATCTATATCCTCTCCTTGAAAATAATAAA